ACCTGGGCAAAAGCAAACCTGTCTCTACTAATAAATAGAAAGAATTAATTCGGCCAACGAATATTAACTATAGAAAAAATTAGCTGGCATGGTGGCCGCTATGCTTAGTCAGCTACTCGGCGAGGCTGAGGCAGAAGATTGCTTGAGCCAGAGGGTTGAGGTGCTGTTGAGCTAGGGCTGTGCCATCGGCACCCATCTAGCCTGGACGCAACAAAGTGGACGACTTCTGTCTCCAAAAAACAACAGAACAAAACCTCGGCATCTCAAAAAACAAATAAACCAATTTAACTTATGTCATGAATACAGTTACTGAGTTCATTTATTAACACTACAAAATATAATACAAATATGTCTAACTTAGTGACTATTGACACATGTAAAATTCCCCCTTCGCAGACCTCCTATCACTTTAATCACGTTCTTTCTTTTTTTCTTTCGTTTTTTTTTTTGAGACGGCTCACTCTGTTGCCCATGGCTAGAGTGCGTGTACAGTCACGCTGCTCACAGCAACATCAAACTCCTGGGTTCAGGCGATCCTCCTGAGTAGCTGGGACTACAGGCATGCGCCACTATGCCCAGCTAATTTTATATATATATATATATAAAATTTATTTTTTTAGTTGTCCAGCTAATTTCTTTCTATTTTTTTAGTAGAGACCAGGCTTCCCTCTTACTCAGGCTGGTCTCTAACTCCTGAGCTCAGAGAATCCTCCTGCCTCAGCCTCCCAGAATGCTAGGATTACAGGTGTGAGCCACCAAGCCCAGCCATCACTTTCTATATCTATGTTACTCCTTTCCTTTCCTTTTCCCTTTCCTTTCCCTTTCCCTTTCCCTTTCCCTTTCCCTTTCCCTTTCCCTTTCCCTTTCCCTTCCCTTCCCTTTCCTTTTCTAGACAGAGTCTCACTCTGTCACCCAGGCTAGAGTGCTGTGGTATTAGCCTAGCTCACAGCAACCTCCAACTCCTGGGCTCAAGTGATCCTCCTGCCTCAGCCTCCCGAGTAGCTGGGACTACAGGCATACGCCACCATGCCCACCTAATTTTTTCTATATATTTTTAGTTGGCCAATTAATTTCTTTCTATTTTTAGTAGAGATGGGGTCTCGCTTTTGCTCAGGCTGGTCTCAAACTCCTGACCTTGAGTAATCCTCCTGCCTCGGCTTCCAGGAGGGCTGAGATTACAGGTGTGAGCCACCACACCCTGCTATTATTTTCTTCTTTTTTGAACTCCTGACCTTGAGCAATCCGCCCGCCTCGGCCTCCCAGAGTGCTAGGATTACAGGCGTGAGCCACCGCGCCCGGCCTCTTCTTTTTTATTCTGGAACAGTCATCCTGCCTTTACATACATTTTTATTTTCCTTAATGAAAAGTATACAAAGTAAACACTTTGTATACATTTCCTCATTAAAAACAGATCTTACTTTCTGTGTACAACTTTCATATTTATACCATATACAATTGTTTCCTTTTATCCTTACTACTTCTAATAGTTTTAGTTACATATATGAATTAAAATTCTTAGCTCTTAGTAACCTTAGTATCTGGTGAAAATTAGCAAATACATGATTTCATAATTTTAAAACCACATATCTTTCTTCATAGCACAGCACATTCTAACCAGCCCCCCAAATATCACCAGCTACTCAGTAAGAAGTCAAAAACACATAATCTTGGCCAGGCGCTGTGGCTCAAGCCTGTAATCCTAGCACTCTGGGAGGCCGAGGCAGGAGGATCACTCAAGGTCAGGAGTTTAAGACCAGCCTGAGCAAGAGTGAGACCCCATCTCTGCTACAAATAGAAAGAAATTAATTGGCCAACTAAAAATATATAGAGAAAAAATTAGCCGGGCATGGTGGCGCATGCCTGTAGTCCCAGCTACTCGGAGGCTGAGGCAGGAGGATCACTTGAGCCCAGGAGTTTGATTGAGGTTGCTGTGAGCTAGGCTGATGTCACGTCACTCACTCTAGCCTGGGCAACAAAGCGAGACCCTGTCTCAAAAAAAAAAAAAGAATACATAATCTTAAAGTTATGCTTAGCAATTGATGTTTTAGTAGTTTATCTTATTTGGAAATGATCTAGATATTTAATGAATATCTATCATTTAATATAACTTAGTATCATTTTAAGGTTTCAAGTTACCAAAAACATTTTGGAAACTATCTTCAGGCAGACATATCTTTAATATCATTAAACAAAACTACTTGTCTCAGGTTATTTTTCTTGTTGACATATTTTGTAACAAAGGTAACATGAGTTTATTTGACTAAAAAAGCTAGGTACAATATCCATTTTCACTAATATTTTTATTGGGTTATTTTTCGGCATATTATGGGGGTACAGATTTTAAGGTTTCAATAAATGCCCTTCCCCCCCCAAGTCTGAGTTTCCAGCATGACCATCCCCCAGATGGTGCACATGTCATTGTTGCACTCATTATGTATGTATATACCCGCCCCCTCCCCCCTCAATATTTTTATTTGTTAAAGATTACTCAAGTCATATGAACTCGAAAAGTATTGGGGTTAGTTTCTTTCCTTTCTGAGAAAATACTTTAGTATAAACACTTATTTTTCTCTAGGTCAATGACAAGATGTCATAGATAAGTATTTATTGGGAAAATGCAGAAGCACAGTAAAGAAATTACGTAGGGAGGCTGAGGCGGGTGGATCGCTCAAGGTCAGGAGTTTGAAACCAGCCTGAGCAAGGGTGAGACCCCGTCTCTACTAAAAAAATAGAAATTAATTGGCCAACTAAAATACATATAGAAAAAAAATTAGCCAGGCATGGTGGTGCATGCCTGTAGTCCCAGCTACTGGGGAGGCTGAGGCAGGAGGATTGCTTGAACCCAGGAGTCTGAGGTTGCTGTGAGCTAGGCTGATGCCACGGCACTCTAGCCCAGGCAACAGAGTGAGATTCTGTCTCAAAAAGAAAAAAAAAAAGAAGTTATGTAGTTACAGTTATACAGTTGCCCAAGTTTATCCTGTTGGAAAGTCCTTGGTTACATAATCCTGTGTTAGTTGGCTGCGTATGATTGGCTGGGCTTAAGTTTTGTTTCTGTCAAAAAGAAGCATTTACCAGAAATGACTCAAAGTTTCCCTTAGGTTTGCAATTAAGAAAGGCTGAGGTCCCTTATGAGGCCTCACTGGTTTTGTCTGCTCAGAGATTGTTTAGGCCTGGTTTCCATTTAAATTTACTTTAACACATGCCAGATAATTATGCAGCAGTTTCACAGTAATCTAGTTGGGAAGACAGAGTCTTCCTGCCGTCTGACAGGACCTCACCGCAGATGTGAAACACCATCCCACCCAGGTCAGCATCCCCAGAGAGGATTAGAAACCTGTAGGCTGCACTCAAAGAACATCCCACAACCTGACAGCCCAAGCGCTGAGAACCGGAGATGGTAATCTCTTGATGAGTGACATGAGTGCTCATGTCTCCCAAATCTCCAACCCAGGGCTGCCGCAGTGCCCGGAGCTCTGTGCCCTTCCTGTTCTGTTTTGTTTTGTTTTGTTTTGTTTTGTTTTTGAGACAGAGTCTCACTCTGTTGCCCGGGCTAGAGTGCCATGGCATCAGCCTAGCTCACAGCAACCTCAGACTCCTGGGCTCAAGCAACCTTCCTGCCTCAGCCTCCCAAGTAGCTGGGACTACAGGCATGCGCCACCAAGCCTGGCTAATTGTTTCTATATATTTTTAGCTGTCCAGTTAATTTCTTTCTATTTTTAGTAGAGACGGGGTCTTGCTCTTGCTCAGGCTGGTCTTGAACTCCTGACCTTAAGAGATCCTAGGCCAGGCACAGTGGCTCACGCCTGCAATCCTAGCACTCTGGGAGGCCGAGGCAGGCAGATTGCTTGAGGTCAGGAGTTCCAAACCAGCCTGAGTGAGACCCTGTCTCTATCAAAAATAGAAAGAAATTAATTGACCAACTAAAAATATATATAGAAAAAATTAGCCGGGCATGGTGGCGCATGCCTGTAGTCCCAGCTACTTGGGAGGCTGAGGCAATAGGATCGCTGAGCCCAGGAGTTTGAGGTTGCTGTGAGCTAGGCTGACACCATGGCACTCACTCTAGCCTGGGCAACGAAGTGAGACTCTGTTTCAAAAAAAGAAAAAGAGATCCTCCCACCTTGGCCTCCCAGAGTGCTAGGATTACAGGCATGAGCCACCACACCCAGCTCCCTTCCTGTTCTTTATCCACATACACGCCCTAAGTTAGGGAACAGCAAAGTTTTTGTGCAAAGAGCCAAATTGTAACTGGTTTTGCCTTTGCAGGTCATGGTCTCTTGCAACTACTCAAGTCTGCAACTGAGGTTACAGTGAGCTATGATGGTGCCACTGCACTCCAGCCAGGGTGACAGAGTGAGTCTCTGTCTCAAAAAAAAATAAAAATAGAACTAGTAAACAAACGATGTGGCTGCATTCCAATAAAACTTTATGTACAAAAACAGGAGGTAGGCTAGATTTAGTGCTCTAAGTGGTCCCTCTCATTCCCATGATTTGCTGACGTCTCCCAGGTCTGCATCTCCAACCTAGACCAGGTGCACCCCTTTAACATCTTCACTTGGGTGGGCCATAGAGCCCAAGGTGCTCAAATCAGGACTCTTGACTTTCCACCTACCTGGATGTGGTCACTTGCACTCAGCTTCCATTCGCACCTCCTTTTGTTTATTTCCTGCACTTTAGAACGGAAAAGCTAAAGCTGCGTTTTGCAGATTCCCTTGCAGCTAGCGTTCTGGGTGAGGCTGTTGGACTGAGCACACCTGTGTGAGACTCCAAGTGCAAAATGACGTGCAGGCTTCCGTCCCGCGTAGAGAGTGTGGCACAGGCAGCAAGAGAGGGGTGTCAGGATCCCCGCCAGGGTCCCGGTCACAGTCACAGCTACCCAAGTCTCCTCTTAAACTCACTAGTCCCGAGGGCCACCTCTCAGCTCCTATACTGCCAGCCCACCCAAGAATTTTATTATAGTCCCTGTAATAAATCTCTTTCTACCTTAAATACTCCTACAGTGTTTTCTGCACGGAGCCCTGACGGACGCACTCAGGCCAGCTCTGCTCCCCACCACTTTCACCTCGGGACACGGCATCCCTCGTTTCAATCAGGTAAAAACCACACCAGTAATGTGAATAGGAAAAAAAATTAATGTAAGGAATTGTTAACTAGTAAAATGAAGTTAACTGCTGATGTAGGTAACAGATGAAGCAGCAAATGCAGGAGTGGCTACCACGTGTGGGGCTTGAAGACAGGGAGGAGGGAAGAACCAAGGACTCAGAAGAGCTGCCAGTTGAGCACCACGCCCAGCCGAGGTGACGCACGAAATTGACTCTCACGTCTTTTATTTTTTCATTTTTATTTCCGCATATTATAGGGGCAGAAATGTTTGGGTTACGTATATTGCCCTTGCCCCACCCGAGTCAGAGCTTCAAGCGTGTCCATCCCCTAGACGGTGCGCACCACACCCGTTAGGTGTGAACATACCCATCTCCTCCTCCCCCTCCCCCTCCCACCTGCCCGACACCCGATGAACGTTATTGCTATATATGCACTTAGGTGTTGGTCAGTTGATGCCAATTTGCTGGTGAGTACGTGTGGTGCTTGCTTTTCCATTCTTGGGGTACTTCACTTAGTAGAATGGGTTCTAGCTCTATCCAGGAAAATACAAGAGGTGCTAGATCCCCATTGCGTCTTATAGCTGAATAGTACTCCATGGTATACATATACCACATTTTATTAATCCACTCATGTATTGATGGGCATTTGGGTTGTTTCCACATCTTTGCAATTGTGAATTGTGCCGCCATAAACATTCAAATGCAGGTGTCTTTTTTTATAGAATGTCTTTTGTTCTTTTGGGTAGATGCCCAGTAATGAGATTGCTGGATCAAATGGTAGATCTACTTGTATCTCTTTGAGGTATCTCCATGTTACTTTCCACAGAGGTTGCACTAGTTTGCAGTCCCACCAGCAGTGTAAGGGTGTTCCTATTTCTACACATCGATGCCAATATTTATCGTTTGGGGACTTTTTGATAAAGGCTGTTCTCACTGCCTTTATCAAAAGGCACTAATTGCAGTTTTGATTTGCATTTCCCTGATGATTAGAGATGTGCATTTTTCATATGTTTGTTGGCCATTATTCTGTCTTCTTTTGAAAAGTTTCTGGGCCGGGTGTGGTGGCTCACGCCTGTAATCCAAGGCGGGCGGATTGCTCGAGGTCAGGAGTTCAAAACCAGTCTGAGCGAGACCCCGTCTCTACCAAATATAGAAAGAAATTAATTGACCAACTAAAAATATATATACAAAAAATTAGCTGGGCATGGTGGCGCATGCCTGTAATCCCAGCTACTTGGGAGGCTGAGGCAGGAGGATTGCTTGAGCCCAGGAGTTTGAGGTTGCTGTGAGCTAGGCTGATGCCACGGCACTCATTCTAGGCCTAGGAAACAAAGTGAGACTCTGTCTCAAAAAAAGGAAAACTTTCTGTTCATCTCCTTTGCCTACTTTTTGATAGGGCTGTTTGATTTTTTTCTTGCTGATTTTCCTGAATTCTATATAGATTCTAGTTATCAGCCCTTTATCAGATGTGTAACATGCAAATATTTTCTCCCATTCTAGAGGTTGTCTGTTTGCTCTCGTGATAGTTTCCATGGCTGAGCAGAAGCTTTTTAATTTGATCAGGTCCCATTTAGCTAACCTATGAAACTAATAAAACTGAACTTAACAATAAACTCCAGGCAGGCTTAACCTGACAGCCACTCTTTCCAAACTTCTTTATTCCTCAAATGTAGCTAAAATGGTTTTGACACTGACTTAAAATTGCTAGCCATCTCCCAACATGGACCAGATTGACAAAGGACAGCCCCATCCTGGCAGCCAGGGACAATCAAAACCTAACCACAGGATATTTGATCAGTGATACTTTCAGAGAAAGATTCGATCAAAAGGAGGAAACAGGAAAGTTGCCAATATCAAGACGGAGTTTGTGTCAAACCCAAACAAAACAGAGTCACTAGGTTAAGAAGGGGCCCCCATGTACACAGGCCAACAAGAACCACTACAAAACTCTCCAAAGGGTTATTATGCACACACGCCTGTGACAAGAACTTTTGCCAAGGACTTTCCAAACTGCAGCTTGCTACATGAGTCATAAGGACAGCTAACCAGACTGCAAAAACACTTGCCTGATACGCTGTCTCCACTAACAAACCAATGTCAACTCCTGCAGTAAGCCCCTGTAACCAACATTCCCTTGGTTTCAGAACAACTTACATGTATGTACTCTTCCTTTTGATTTTAAGAGCATCTCCTTACCTCAAGCTGTTCCAGTGTGCCATGGTTGCCATGACATCCATACTCTGCATTGCAGTGTTTTTGCTCATTCTCTAATAAACGCATGACCTTTGGCGAACCTCTCTCTGTTATTAGGTTGACGCCCTCTACCACTGCTCTTCTCTTCTGGAAGATGAGCATGGGCTAGAGGTGGAACATCTGTCTTGCAACCGTAAGGACCAAGGATGGAAATAAGAAGCCTGTTCTCTAAAGGCTTCAGGGAGCCGGATGTCAGGCTGGGTACTTACTTCCAGATGTCTTTTACCTGAGTCCAGGAAAATACTCCCAGGTATTTAATCAATTAGTTGGAGGTGGTGTTTGTTTGTTTGTAGGGGAGGCTGATACTCATTGCCAAATGTAATTTCTAACTGATACATATAGAAAATTGTCTATTAAATTGTTTTACTTCTTAGATTCATTATATAATGTTTTGCTGAAAAATAACCCATTTCGTCCAGGTTTTTTTTGTTTTTTTTTTTTTGAGACAGAGTCTCGCTTTGTTGCCCAGGCTAGCGTGAGTGCCATAGCGTCAGCCTAGCTCACAGCAACCTCAAACTCCTGGGCTCAAGCAATCCTTCTGCCTCAGCCTCCCGAGTAGCTGGGACTACAGGCATGTGACACCATGCCCGGCTAATTTTATATATATATTAGTTGGCCAATTAATTTCTTTCAATTTATAGTAGAGACGGGGTCTTGCTCTTTCTCAGGCTGGTTTCGAACTCCTGACCTCGAGCAATCCGCCCACCTCAGCCTCCCAGAGTGCTAGGATTACAGGCGTGAGCCACCGCGCCCTGCCGTCCGGGTTTTTAAATTTGTCTCAAGACTCACATAATGAAATCTCCTAAATTATTTTATCCTCTTTTGCATTGGTATCTTGTTTTCTCATTCTTAATCTTGTATACTTTGATCAAGCTCACTGGAGTGTTAATCCGCTTATCTGTCTTCTTTTTAAAAATACCTGCACACCAACTGGGGGATGGACACGCTTGAAGCTCTGACTCGAGAGGGGAGGGGGGCAAGGGAAATATACGTGACCTTAACATTTGTTCCCCCATAATATGCTGGAAAAAATATAAATAAATAAATACCTATTCTATTTATCCTTTCTACTGTTTTGTTTGTGTTAGTGCCTGTTTCATTCTTTTACTTATTCTTTTTCCTGTTTGTAAGATAAACACTAAGTTTCTTTAAATTTTTCTTCATTAACAATGAAGTTACTGGGAGTGTATATTCAAGGCAACTTAAATCTATGCTCCCAGGAAAAAAACTTAAAAATACAATAATGAAGTCATTTTTAAGGGTATAAATTTTCCTCAGAATACAGCTTTAGCTGCATCCTATGGGAGTTGGATATGAAGGGAATCTACTTTTGCAGTGTTTTATATATAGTTTATAATGTCAGATAAGTCTCTTTTTCATCCAGAGAATATTTTTTTTTTTTAGACAGAGTCTCACTCTCTTGCCCAGGCTAGAGTGCTGTGGCATCAGCCTAGCTCACAGCAACCTCAAACTTATGGGCTCAAGCAATCCTCCTGCCTCAGCCTCCTAAGTAGCTGGGACTACAGGCAGGTGCCACCATACCTGGCTAATTTTTTCTATTTTTAGTAGAGATGGGGTGTCGTTCTTGCTCAGGCTGGTCTCGAACTCCTGAGCTCAAGCAATTCTCACGCCTCGGCCTCCCAGAGTGCTAGGATTACAGGTGTGAGCCACTGCACTCAGCCCATCCAGAGATTTTTTAAAAGGATTTGTTAACTTGTTGTTTTTAATAGGAAACCCTAGTTTGTAGGGACCTGTTCATTTCAAAATATTTGTCTCTTTTTTACATGTTATTGCTTTCTTAGAATTGAACTGTAAATCAAATTATATGTCCTAGTATATCTCTTTATTCAACTTACATGAGTATTTTGTGGCCCACCACATGATTATTTTTTGCAAATATTCCATGGGCTTAAATAGATGCAAAACTCTCTCTCTACATACAATTAAATTGAGCTTGCTGTTTGTATTATTCAATTCCTTTATCCCTATACCTGTTTTTTGTCTGCAGATCTGTCTAATTCTGGGATGGGTGTACTGAAGCTTGGGGAAGGGCGAGGGCGGCATTCTGGTCTGCAGCCCACCCTACCGTCCCACCAGAGTCCAGGGCCCCCAGGACAGGCCTCCTTTACCGCTGGGGGGAGGCAGGCGCAGAGACCGGTTGTGGGGGTGGGGGGTAGTCAGTCTGGTTGCCAGGAAGCAGACCCGGACACAATGGGGTCTGGGAGCCGGGCAGGGCGGGAGGGTGTGTGTGCGTGTGGGGGGGGTCCAGTCACCTCGCTTTGATGTGTTTTCCCACACCCGGGGCCACCGCCCACAGCAGGTCAGTGCATCCCGGCCCGTGCGGCCCCTCCTCCGGCACCCTGTCCCAGCACCACTAAAATACCCTGTTCCCCACAGACCCAGGGACTCCCAGAAGTCTGGGTCCAAACTTGGCGCTCATGGGTTTAGTGCCACAGCACATCGGACCTCCCCACCCCAGACCCCTGCTGAACTTGTTTCTGGGTAGGGGGCAGAGACCGCTCCCCCCAACCCCCCAAGTCGGGGAAAGCCACCGTTTGTTTTCCTGGCGCCTGGGATACGGGATGGGCCCCGCCCCCGGGCCGCGCTGATCCCGGGGACCGGGCAGCGCGTCCGGCGCGTCTGAGGTGGAGGGCCCGCGCCACGGTCTGTCCGCAGGTGCTGCAAGCCGTGAGCGCCCACGACCCGCGCCATGGGCTCCAACATCTGGGTTGGCACCTGGCGGCCACACCGGCCCCGCGGCCCCATCTCGGCGCACTTCAGAGGCCCGGGGCCCAAATACAAGCTGCCAGCGAACACCGGTAGCAGGGGCGGGCTCCGCGGTGGGGGGTGGGCCGGTGCCTGGGGAGAGGAGAGCCCAGGGAGGTCTGTGTCTGGACCCGGTGTGGGGTCCTGGCGCGCGGGGCTGAGGACAGGAACGAAGCGGGCGGGCCGATGCTCCCCGCACCGAGAACTGCGCCCGGGAGGGAGGAGGGGTCTGCGCGGGGACGGAGGGCGGTTCGCCCGGCCACTTGGTGATGCCCGGACGGCCCCGCAGGCTACATCCTGCACGACCCGTCGCGGCCCCGCGCCCCCGCCTTCACCTTCGGCGCGAGCCTCCCCACGCAGCGGACGACGTGCGGCCCCGGGCCCAGCCACCTGGTGCCCGCCAACATTACCGTGCGCGGCCGCGACGGCACGCCCGCCTACTCCATCCTTGGCCGCCTGCGCCACTCAGCGCCTTTCCGCACCCCCGGACCGGGTCAGGACCCTGGGGCCCCGGGCACCCCCACGCAGGCTGCCTCCAGGGAGGCCCACCTGGGATTCCCCCACCTGAACCCCGAGCTCCCCTCGGGTGCCCTAACGCCCCATATTCGGCAGCCCCATATCCGGATCTCAGAACCCAGAACCCCGATCCTCCCCGGGGCTTGACAAATCGTGGCTTCAATTCTCCCAGCCCCAGGACCCCATCACCGGTTCCCACCAGGCCCCCCTACCCGTTCCCGCCCACACCCTTGGTTCCCCCGCAGGCAGGTACTTCCCGGAGCGAGCTGGGAACGCGACGTACCCCAGCGCGCCTCGGCACAGCATCGCTCCCCGAAACTGGGGTATACCCGCGGAGCGCCAGGCCCCAGGTGAGGTTCGGAAGACAGCACCTGCGACCTGCCCACCCCGGACCCCAGGCCGCGCTCCAGGCGCTGGGACCACCCCGCACTCGCACCCGAGGGGAGCCCCCGTGCCTGTCCGCAATGACACACCCCTGCCCCAGCCGAACCCTCGCTGGCCCCTTCCCAGGTCCTGCGTCCTACAACGTGCCCTCGCTCCTGGGCCCGCGCGTCATCAGCAAAGTCTCGGCCCCAACGTACTCCATCTACGGGCGCAGAACAGTGGGCAGCTGCTACGAGGACCTCAGCAAGGTGGGGGAGGGGCCGTCGGGCTCAGCATAGCCAGGGGCCAACGGGGAGGGCCGCGCCTCTGGCCGGCGGGGAATGGAGGCCAGACCCAGCACCCCTTCCGCCCTCCCGCAGACTCCGGGCCCCAGCGCCTACCAAGAGGTGAACCCTGGGGTCTACAAGTCCCGGGCCCCCCAGTTCACGATGCTACCGCGGACTTCGATTCCCCGAGACAGCACGCCGGGGCCCGCAGCCTACAACGTGGACAAGGTGGTCGGGATCCCAGGGTCAAGGGTCAGAAGCGGGGGATGAGGGTCTAAGGTCTGAGGTATGGGCTCAGGGCTCTCCGGGGGTACAGGGGTCCCAGCGCGAAGCGGGACGGCTGGGTCCGCGAGGTCAGCGGCGTCTCCTGCCAGGGCCTGCAGTACCGGAAGCCTGGTGGCTGGACCTTCGGAATCCGGCACTCAGACTACCTGGCCAGGATGGTGACCGACGTGGACAACTGACCGGCCGGCCGGGCGGGCGCGGCCCCACAAGTGTCTGCTTAAAGTTTCTGAGCCAGCGTCGCGTCCGCCTGTCTGTGTGCGCGCCCGCGCGCCCGGGGTCCCGGCGAGGCTAGGGCGGGGCCGGGCGTCCGGGAAGTCGGACCTTTGGAACCCGTCCGAGGGCGGGGCCGAGTGTCCCCGCGAGGCCAGGTCGGGAGACGGAGGGTCTGGGCGGTGACCGACCGTCGAACCCCCCCGGGACGGGTGGAAGGGTGCACTCCGGACCCACAGACTCCGGAGACCCCGGCAAGCTGGACGGGATGGGCCGGTGACCCCACCTGCCGCCCCTCTGGGCCCTCCAATTCCCGTAAGCCCTGCACCCCGCCAGCCACTTTGAGGAAGTCCTGCACCCGCCATCCACTTTGGGGAGAGGCCAGGAGCGTAGCCAGCAGGACTTCCTTGAGGCGGCGCTTGGCGAGCCCCACTTAACTGAGGGAACGGCCCCGCCCGCCCGCTGTCCGTGGGCTGCTACTGACCGCCGCGGACCTGCTGCTGCCCGCAGGCGACGGACGGGCGCGCCCCGAGTGAACCCCGCGGTCCGGACCCCGCGGCCGCGCGCAAGGCAGAACCCAAGCAGAGCGGGCAGGGGCTGCGGTGCTGAACAGGTATGGGCAGGTGCAAGCTGCGAGGTGGGAAGCGGGAACTACAGAGAAAGAAACGGACACGGCGACACAGACAAGGGACAGAGGGGTGGCACCAGAGAGACACGCAGGGACAGGGTCGGGACAGGAGCGCGTGGCCGCAGGGACAAGGACACAGGCGGCAGCGGGTTCCAGAGGAGTCTGGCATCCCCGCAGGCCCGGAGCTATGGCAGCAACAGCGACCCCAGGAGCCCAGGCTCCACCCGCCCCGGTAGCGCCTGGTGACCTCTCGGGGGAAGGGAGCCGGGGACTTCCTGACGCCCGGTCAGAGCCCAAGCAGCTTCCGGAGCTGATCCGCATAAAGCGGGATGGAGGCCGCCTGAGCGAGGCGGACATCAGAGGCTTCGTGGACGCTGTGGTGAACGGGCACGCGCAGGGCGCACAGATCGGTGCGTGGGGAGGACTGGGCCCTTCTGACCCTGATCTGGGAGGTCAGCTCCCAGAGACTGTCCGTCCCTGGGAGGGCCACACCCCTCACTGGCCCCGGGGATGACCCACTGCTTTGGGGACACCGTCCTCACCATAATAATGCTTCACACCCAGGCGCCATGCTCATGGCCGTCCGACTGCAGGGCATGGATCTGGAGGAGACCTCAGCTCTGACCCGGGCACTGGCTGAGTCTGGACAGCAGCTGGAGTGGCCAAAGGCCTGGCGCCAGCAGCTGGTGGACAAACATTCCACAGGGGGTGTGGGTGACAAGGTCAGCCTGGTGCTGGCACCTGCCCTGGCTGCATGTGGCTGCAAGGTTAGAGACCACCTCCTCTCCAGACCAGAACCTCTGACCCCAGAGAGCCAGCAACCAAGCCATCCACAGGCAGCTCCCCACCCCACCCCTGGCCCAGACAGAGCCCTCAAAGACAGGACCCAAGCTTCTTGCCACCCCCATAGAACTTGGGTCCCCCTGAGGCCTCAGACTAGGCCCCTTGCAACAGAACCAAGTTGGGGGGGGGACACAGTACCTTTCTCCCCCTGTCTCCTAGTCTTGTGTCCCCAGGGCTGGGTACCCACCTCCTCCCCAACAGACACCAGGCCCTCAACCAGGAAATTTTCATTTTCATTCCCTCTCCACCAGCTGGGCACCCACTAAAACTGCTTAAACACTGTTTAAGTCCAGCATAAGTCCTACCCAGGGAAGGTGAGGGAGCATGTGTAGGTGGGGGTGAGAGGCACTGTGCAGGTGTACTCAGCATCCCTGCCCACCAGGTGCCCATGATCAGTGGACGTGGCCTGGCACACACAGGGGGCACCTTGGATAAGCTGGAGTCTGTCCCTGGATTCAACGTCATCCAGAGCCCAGAGCAGGTACGAGGCCACCCACTGGCAGTTGATCTCAGCTCACGGAGACCTTGGCCAGAATCACGGGTAGATCATTAAGATCACTAATGAAGATACTGACCAAAGTTATTCATGGGCCTCTGATAGTCAGTGGACTTAGGTCAGATCATCAGTGGAACTTTGACCAGGATCATTAATGTGGACTTGGTCAAAACCACCGATCATCAAGGGGCCATAAAACAGTGATCAGAATTTTGACAAAACAAAGGTCAGAGTCAATGCTGAGGATTTATCGCAAGCATTCACAGGTCACGGGTCCTAGTCTTGGATCTCTGTCAAGGCTGCTGCTGAGTCCTGTGATGGGGTTATTGATCTGGGTCACGGGGGATGGGGGCTGTCTGACCAGATGCAGGCACTGCTGGAGCAAGTGGGCTGCTGCATTGTGGGGCAGAGTAAGAAACTGGTTCCTGGGGATGGAATCCTGTATGCAGCCAGAGATGTGACAGCCACCGTGGACAGCCTGCCACTCATCACAGGTGACATGACCCGGCTCCAGGGCCCACCTGCTGCAGGTTACAGAGCCCTGACTTCTGACCTCACAGCCAGGGTCCTTTCATTAGGGGTGACCTGACAGTGGGACCTCCCCCAATCACAGTGTCCCCTCATCACAGGATGCCTGACCACCAACTCATGGGGGTGACCTGACTCACAACCGGCTCCGTGTGGCCACCCCATCCCAGGGGACTTCGCCCTCAATGCCCAGGGCCCATGACCCCTCCTGCCCCTAGGGTTGGCATCCCTCAAGTCTCCCAGGGAGACTTTTGGCCCTCCATTGTCCCCTGCTGTCTCCCCGACAGCCTCCATCCTCAGCAAGAAGGTCGTGGAGGGACTGTCCGCGCTGGTGGTGGACGTTAAGTTCGGAGAGGCTGCCGTCTTCCCGAACCAGGAGCAGGCCCGGGAGCTGGCGAGAGCGCTGGTGAGCACCCTGCCTGCTGGAGCCTGTGGCCCCTCCGTGGGGCCCCCGCGTGCCTACGGCCTCTCCGCGGGGCTGGGCCTCTTAATGTGGACCTGACCGGCCCTCCCCCCTCTACTCGCGCCCGCCTCGCCATCCTGCTTTCGGTGTCCCGTCCCTCCCTCCGTGACACCCAACCCCCAGAACCTGGCCTCTGGCCTAGGACGACCACCCGAGGCCAGGCACAAGGTCCTTCTGGCCCCCAGCGCTGAAGTCTGGCACAGCGCCCGCTCCGGTCCCCACCCTAAGCCTTCCTTGCCCTCATCCTGGGGGCTGGCAACCCAGGGTGCAGCAGAGGCCGGGCCTGTGGTGGCGCCAGGCCGGGTCCCCGCTGAACCACGACTCTGCAGGTTGGCGTGGGCGCGGGCCTGGGGCTTCGGGTCGCCGCAGCCCTGACCGCCATGGACAAGCCCCTGGGCCACAACGTGGGCCACGCCCTGGAGGTGGAGGAGGCGCTGCTGTGCATGGACGGCGCAGGGCCGTCGGACCTCCGGGACCTGGTCACTAAGCTCGGTGAGGGGCAGGCAGGGCGGCGGCGGCGGGGGGTTCCAGCTAGGCCGGCCCGCGCGGTGCCCGCCCCGGCCCAGCCTAAGCCCCGCCCCGCCGGCAGGGGGCGCCCTGCTCTGGCTCAGCGGACAGGCCGAGACGCAGGCGGAGGGCACCGCGCGGGTGGCCGCAGCGCTGGACGACGGCTCGGCCCGCGGCCGCTTCGAGCAGATGCTGGCGGGGCAGGGCGTAGACCCGGGCCTGGCCCGAGCGCTGTGCTCCGGGAGCCCCGCGCAGCGCCGGCAGCTGCTGCCGCGCGCCCAGGAGCAAGAGGAACTGCTTTCACCTGCGGACGGTGAGCGCCGGAGGAGCCCGCCCCGTCCCCGGCCCCGCGCCCCCGCGCCCCGCCCGCCCAACGCCCTCTCCCCGCAGGCACGGTGGAGCTGATCCATGCGATGCCGCTGGCCCTCGTGCTGCACGAGCTCGGAGCTGGACGCAGCCGCGCGGGCGATGCGCTCCGCCTGGGGGTGGGCGCCGAGCTGCTGGTCGACGTGGGCCAGAGGCTGCGCCGCGGTGAGCGCCGCCCCCGCCCCGCCCTCGCCCCGCCCCGGCCGCCCCGCCCGCTGACCGCCCCTCCGCCGCCCCGCAGGGACGCCGTGGCTCCGCGTGCACCGGGACGGCCCCCCGCTCAGCGGCCCGCAGCGCCGGGCCCTGCAGGAGGCGCTCGTGCTCTCAGACCGTGCGCCCTTCGCCGCCCCCTCGCCCTACGCCGAGCTCGTCCTGCCGCCGACCGGCGCGCAGCAATAAAGCCCTACCGCCGCAAAGCCGTGTCCGTGCCTGGCGCGCCGGGGGCCCGGGCGGCAGCGCGCGGGGGCGGGCGGGAGGGCGCGGGGCGCGAAAGCCTCGCAGCCTCGCTGGACACGTGACTTCCCACGGGCACGCCACCCTACGCCCGTGCGCGGCGCTGTTGGCGCATGCGTCGTGGAGACGGCGCGAATCCCTTGGTCCCGGCGTGCAGCGCGGGGGAGGCGGGGCTGCTGCGAGACCCGGAAGCACGGGGCGGCCGGTGCTGCTTCCGGGGCGGGCTGCTCGGACTCATTACCCCCGCCGCGAGGTGCGGACCCCGGGGTCTGAGGGGAGGGGACAGCCCGCGCCTGGGACGCGCTCGGCTCTGCGGGGCCGGCAGCGGCGCGTTGCCACCGGGTGCGCCGGACGGAGAGTCGAGTCTGGGGAGACGCCGGGAAGGGAGGTGTCCCGAAGCATGCACGGGTTGTCTTCGGCGGCTAGCACAGTTATAAGGTGCTCGGGTCTCGCGCGTCGCTTCGGGCGGTCCTCAGACCAGTGTGACCACGAGGTGGTCTGGAAATGGTCCAGAGGGGGAGCGACAAGCCGGAGCTCAGACGGCACAGCAGCCGGGGAACCGTCCGGCCTGGGGGTGGAGGCCACAAGGGGTCCTCGGGAGGGTTCTCTCAGGTGAGGGGGAGTTCTGAGACCTCCAGGTAGCAAACTTTCCGGGGCCCCGGAAAGGCACGGAGGTCATCAGGCAAGGGCAGGGTGTGCGCAGTGAGCCAAGATTGGTGCTGTTGGATGTAAAGAGGGTGGGGTTTTGTGGGGAGTAGAAACATCTTCCGTCTTTGCCAGGAAAGGGGCAGAGTTCGAGCTCGTGGATAGGTAGCATTGGTTCTCTGCTGAACTTGGGTGGGTGGGGAGTGGCCAGAGAGCCGAGGTTGAAGTAGTCCGAGATGTCAGGAAAGGGCTGGAGGAGTCAGTTACTTTTCAGGGGTTGCAAACCAGTTATCCACCTCTTTTCAAGAAATGGGTTTATTGCAAACACATACACATGCTCAAGAATCCAGGCAAGGCATGCACTTGGAATGTTCTTCTGTAGTAAGCAGCTCAGCTGCCCAGGTGCAGGACAGGGTGGGTTAAGACAGGCTGAAGTTCCCAGGTTAAAAAAGGACAAGTGACAGGCATGGATAGTGGCCAGGGGTGGGTGATTGGTGCTGCCTAAGCTGTAGTTTAGAGGTTTCAGAGGTGGGGCAGTTCTGAGCTCAGGTGAACACATGCAGGCAGGTGGTGAACTTGAGGGTGGGGGTGGTCTTTCAGATAGTGAGTTTGTCTCCAGTTACAGGAGCAGCCCAGGCACCTTCTTGTCTCCTCCCCTCTGGCTCCTGACACTTTTGCTCTTTTCCAGGTCCATGCTGCTACTGGCTCGGGGGCCCAAGGCTTGCCATGGGCTCTCTCAGCTTAAGTCCCGAGTCCTCCCTGGGACCCCAGGAAGCCAGGCCCTGCATTTGAAGTCCTGGCTCTCATCAAGGCAGGGCCCTGCAGAGACCAGTGGGCAGGGCCAGCCCCAGGGCCCTCGGCTAAGAACCAGGATTCTGGTCACAGCCCTCTTTGGGGCTGGACTGGGTGGAGCCTGGCTGGCAGCAAGGGCAGAAAAGGAGCAGTGGCAGCAGCAACGGCGAACAGAGGCCCTGCGGCAGGCGGCTGTAGGCCAGGGTGACTTCAGCCTGCTGGACCACCAAGGCCAGGCTCGCTGCAAGGCTGACTTCCGGGGCCAGTGGGTGCTGATATACTTTGGCTTCACTCACTGCCCCGACATCTGCCCAGATGAGCTGGAGAAGCTGGTGCAGGTGGTGCAGCAGCTGGAAGCCAAGCCAGGCCTGCCTCCAGTGCAGCCTGTCTTCATCACTGTGGACCCTGAGCGGGATGATGTTGCTGCCATGGCCCGATACGTGCAGGACTTCCACCCAAGGCTGCTGGGCCTGACAGGCTCCACTGAACAGGTTGCCCAGGCTAGCCGCAGCTACCGTGTGTACTACAGCGCAGGCCCCAAGGACGAGGACCAAGACTACATTGTGGACCACTCCATCGCCATCTACCTGCTCAACCCAGATGGCCTCTTCACTGACTACTATGGCCGGGGCAGGTCAGCCGAGCAGATCGTAGACAGTGTGCAGCGGCACATGGCTGCCTTCCGCAGCGTGCTATCATGAGCTGCCACAAGCTGTCATTAAATGGGGTGCGTTTTCATCTGTGTGTGTCTCTACCAGCAGTCCATGGAGGCCAAGCAGCACTGTCGTTACACAGAGCAGATATAAGGGGTTTCTTTAGGGGTAATGTGGGATGGCAACACCACTTTATTAGGCTGGGCCAGCCAGGAAGCAACACAAGTGAGCCAGAGGCACAGCTCAGGACACATGGGGGATGGGGCTCCCAGGCCCCCAACCCCACCCCACCCCACCCACCTCGGTGTTCCCCACTCAGGGCTGGGCCATGGAGGGGGCAGCATAGGTCTGGAAGCGCTTGTGGGCTCGCTGGTGCGTGAGCAGTCTCAGGGACATTGTGTCCACGGCTGTCTCCAGCCCCGGCTGCTGGGCAATCTCCACCGTGTAGTCGTTGGCCTGCAGGGGCACCCCATCAGAAGGGTCTGGGAACTGGTCCCCTCCCACATACCCCAGGCCACTCACCAGCTGCAAGGAGGCCAACATGGAGCGACACACCTCGAAGGCAGGCTGGCCGGCCACCAGCTTTGCAAAGGGACACCACTCGTTGAGCTGTGGGAACTGTGACACCACCTGGTCCCCGTAGGTGTGGATGTCAAAGGGCAGGTGCTGCTCCTGCACAGGGGAGGGGCACGTTGGCTGCGGCTGCGGGCAGGCCCCGGACAAACCCGAGGCAGGCAACAGGAGGCTCTAGTTCTTGGCAGCACTACCTCACCTGCTCCTGGAGCAGGGGCCGGACAGTGTCCTCCCACTCCCTGACACGCTGGCTCAGCTCTGTCTCCTGCACAAACTTCTGGGAGGTGGCGATGAACAGCTCCTAGGGGGGACCAGTGGGAGCTGCTGCCTTCTGTGCAGGGTCCTGCCCCCCCCCACTGCCCGCCCACTCTGACCCAGGCCTACCACATTCCTTCGAACCAGCTCCTCATAGCTCAGGGACTCCGGCATGGCCTCTGCATCTGGGGCAGGGGCAGATGAGTTGCGGCAGCTGTGGGGCCACTCTCCCCTCCCTCTCATCCTCGGCGGCCCCTCAGCACTCCCCGGCAGCGGCCCACTCTCAGACCTACCCACGGCAGCAGACTCCCTGGGGTTTGCCCCTTCAGGCTCCACGTACTCCTCTGGCTCTAGAAAGTCATCTGCTAAGAGGCAGGAGAGACACCCGCAGGGAGCTGGTCAGCGGGCTGCAGGTGCTGAACCCCGCCACCCAGTCCCCCAGCAGGCACCCACCTGCTGCCCCCAGGTCCTCCAGGGAATCCTCCAGGCGGTCTTCCTCTGAAGGCCACAGCCTCTCCTCAACCCTCGGCAGCCACTGCTTGCCCATCTGTCCAGAGAGACATCTGTAAAGGGCACTGCCCTCTCCCATCGGGAGCCCCATGTGGTCCCACACCACAGCCTAGTGATCGGTACTTGCCTCCCTCCTCTGCAGCTTCCGGAGGGTTTTCAGCTGCTCCTGCACATGCTCCCAGTACAGGACCTCCATGTCTGCAAAGACCTCGTGAGAGTACCCCGCCCAGGGGGCTGGGATAGGGGAAGGGAGAGTAAGACTGTCTTTCCTGAGAAAGTGCACATAGGGCCTTAGCTTACCTGCAAAGGATGGGCCCTTTTGCCGGGACCTCCTGTGGTCAGCATGGTCAGCATCTGTGAGAGAACCCAGTCAGCAGGAACCGAGCCAGGGCCCCTGACCTACCCACAGGCCAAGGGCTGCTCACAGCACTGGGGGAAAAGGTGCCAATCCTCCTTCACTGGCCCTGGCCCTGGCCCTGGCCCTGGCCTGGCCCCAGCTCCCAGGGGTCTGGGGTGCCCCACAGCCCACCACCTGCACTCACAGGCAGCCAGGTACCACTGGTGGAAGTCCTGCAGCTTGGCAGCACCCTTCCTCTTGCGCTTCTGTCCTGGAGCCACCTCCACACCAGGGGGCACAGAGTAAGGCCTGCCTGGGGGCAAACAGGGATAGGGTCTCAGAGTGGCCGTGCGTCAGGACGCAGAGCCCACCCACCCCAAACCTAGCGAACCCAGCCACGGGCGCCTGAGTGGAGGTGTCCCCCACCCAGTTACCTTTCTTGAAGGGCTTAGAGTCCAGGGAGTCGAAAGGGTCCAGGCTCTGCCAGGGGTCTGGAGTCTCCTGAGAGAGGACAAGCAGATGTGAGAGGATGAGGGGTGCACACTCTCCCCTCCCGAAGTCCAGACACAAGTGCGGTGACAGCCCAGGGGGGCCAAGCACACTTAATGCAGGGTCACAGAGGAGGACATTCGAGGGAGGGAGCCCAGAGCTGTGGGAGAGGGGACTTGAGATTCTGGGAGGAAGAAGATGCCTTGCAAACGTGAAGGGCCACAGGCTAGGACCACCAAAGGCCAGCAGGAACAGAGGCATGAGGGGCAGACCCGAGGTCCTCCAGTCTGCTCTCCCCTCCCCACCAGGGGGTGCAGGGCCCCAGCACTCCTACCTTCAGCCGGGACACAGGCTCTGGGGCCCCCTCTCGTTCACGCAGCAGGTACCTCCTGGGCAGGGCAGCACTCTGCAAAGAAACAGCCCACGGTCCCCTTCCTCCCCCTTCTCCACCCAAGACTCTGGGCACCCCAGCAGCTCTGCCCCGGGGTCAGTGCCAAGAGCCCTGCAGGGAGTTCTTGGGGGCAGCAGTTCACAGAACAAACACACAAATTAGTAGTCATGGGAGTACTTTTTTTCCTTTAAAAATATGAGAGAAAAGTAGAATGGCAAACTTTCATGTTATTTACCAACCAGAATTAAGAAATGTTAACATTTTCTCCTGTATGCATCAGGCTGGGTCTAGGTTGGACAGAGTTGACCCCTGGGGGTTGAGTGAGGTAGCAAAGGCCCCCAGACCCACCTCTCCTACCAGCCTGACCCCAGAAGAGGCAGCCTCGGAGACCAGCTCCCATCCCAGGTGGCCATGCGCTCCACAGGGCTCAGACCCTAGAACGCCAGCACACCCCTGAGCAGCGGCAGCTCTGCCCGGAGAGGAGAGACACAGATGCTGCAGCCAAAAGCGCTCGCTGCAAGGCTAGGCCTAGGGCTGGCTGCAGGGCAGTCTGACTTCTGGGCAAAGACCAACAGGACATAGCACTGTCCCTCCTGTGTAAGGTAACTCTGCCCAGAGCCAGGGCTCGCCCAGCTGACAGCTCAGCCTCTGCAGGCCTCAGTGTGGGCCCCACCTGCTGTGGGCTCCTGGGCTCCTCAGGCTCCAGGGGACACTGGGGGGCTGTGGCCTCAGGGAGCTCTCCCGCCTCCTCTGCGTCCTCGTCCTCACCCCTGCCACTGGGCATCGGGCCTTCTGGAGAGGTGCCTGGGCAGGAAGCAAGAGCCTGGTCAGCCCCAAGGAGCATGAGGACCAGACGGCAGCAGGGCTGACACCGAGGGGACCCGATAGGCCTCTCCCTCCGAACCCAGAGAACTGAGAGGGGCGCCTCACACTCTTTTTATCACACTAGTGTGCTCTGTCTGGTTTATTCTATTTCTCTGCAAATGCTCCTCTTTAAATGCTGCCATCTATGTCTGCCCACAGAGGAGGCCTGGGAGGGTGATCAGGGCAGACACTGAAGCGAGACGGACAGAGGTTCAGCCGAGGCCAGGGCCTGAGTGCAGCTGCTCCCTGCCCCCACACCACAGGCCTGGGCGAAGCAAGCAGGCGGGCAGGTTGGAGTAGCTGAGAGCAGCACCGTCCGCTGAGCTTGACCTGCCCGGTGCCCTTATAGCCAGGCCTGCCAGGGAGCTCTCCTCACCGGGCTCATGGGAGAGGCCGGGCACAGGAACGGGACTCCCGCACATAGACACTTCCATCAGCTGCTCCTCAGGCCTCTCGGCATCTGGGAGAGACAGGGATTAGGGTCAGCCCACAGCCCAGCCCCTCCCCAGGCGTTCCCACCTGCTGTCTCAAGAGCCCCTCCAAGGGGCCGGCAGGAGGGCAGACCCAGCAGACCCCCGGCCTTGAGCTGGCCAGAGAGAGTGGGGCCCCGCCAGGCATCGGACCCCGGTACTGGGGTGGCCTTGTCAACATACAATCGAGGTACAGCAAGGACTGGTGAGGGGGATAAGTCCCCGCCGACCTATGACCTCCATAGAGCAGAGTAGGCACCTGGGGAGAGGGAACCCCCAAGACCAGAGCTGGCGAGCTCGGGGCACCCTACAGAGCCCCCTGCAGAAGACCCTCTCCTCCTTCCTCCCCACCAAGGCCTGCATCCAAGCCCTCACCCTGCTGGCTCCTTGGCATGGGGGACATGCCCATGGGCTCCACGGGGGACGTGCCCACCGGCTCCAACATGAAGGCCCCTCTGGGGTGGGGGGTGCACGTATTCATCCTGAAATCCTTCCGACTGGCCAGGACCTCGCCCTGATGGCTGTGCTGGCGGAGACACACCTACTGTAGAGACCCTTCCCAGGCAGGCCTCCCTCCCTTGGTGGGCTCAAGCCCTACCTGTACAGGGGGTAGTTGTTCTTCTCCATTTCATCAGGGGCCACCAGGGCCATGGGCAGGAGGGGGACGGTGAGGACCTCCTGCGTGGAGGCCGAGGGTAGGTGAGCAAAAATCCCTCAGACTCCAGGAGGAGAACCCACAAGGAGCAATACCACCTTCTGACACCTACCAGGGGAAGTGCCAGCCCCACCCGAGGTAAAGGGGCTGGGACACTCACATTGGGTGCCAGGTCATTCTTCAGATCCACGTTGGCCCGCGAGTCCGGGAAGTCATCTAGTGACAGCAACTGCGGGGAGGCAGGGGAGCTCACGGGGAGGGGCCCAGGCAAGCACACAGGGGCAGGGCCAACGCCCAGGAAACCTCACCTCATCCTCCGCCTCCAGGGGAGCCCCTGAGCTGGCATCCCCATTGGCCCTGTCTTCCTGCGCCGCAGAGAGCTGCTTGGCCCGCCTGAGAGAGAAGTGCGTCCATCCATGGGCATCCCAGGAGGCCGCAGGGGCCGCCCGTAGGCGGAGGCAGAGGCTCAAGGATGGCCTCAGCTCCAGCTCCCACCCCCAGCGCTCACCTCCTGCCAGAGATGAAGTCGAGAGCCTGGTAGACGAGTGAGTAGAGGTACTCCACCTGGTGATCAGGGCAGGCAATGAGGGCACGGAAACCCGCCAGGGCCCACGACCCTCCCCCAAAGCCTCCCCAATCAGATGTCGCCATACACTGCGAAGCTTCCAAGCCTCCAGAACGAGTCCTGCCAATTTTGCCACTAAAAATAATTCCCAAATTAAACTAGTAGTCTCATGAGAAGCACTCTACCAGCGGGGACTACCTACTACTCCCCTCTGCCCCCTGCAGTCCACACAGCGGCAAGCGTGGCCTTCTCAACGTGATGCCCAAGGCAGGCCCCACAGTCCTGGGCCTTCAGGCCCTGCAGACCAGGACTCCTATGCCCAGCGACCGTGCCACCAGGGCCTGCGTCCCTGCTGCTCCTCTGTCCACACTCCTGCCAGCACCCCCACGAGAGCTCCTCCCCGCCAAGCCCTGGCCAGTGCCACCCCATCTACAGGAGCCCCTGCGAGTCTGTGATAGCCACCACTGCTCCTGACAGACCCCTTCCTTTCACCTGCTTCTTGCCCACGCCTCCACAGAACGGTGGTCCCACCACAGGGTGAGGGGCAGGGGTTCCCGAGGTGCTGACAGTGAAGCACTCACAAGGAGGGGCAGAGGAAGGGTGGGATGTGCATGTGCCACCCCGGGCTGCTGCAAGGGGTGCACACCAGGCATCATTGGTCGGGACAACAGAGCCCACCAGCACACGAGACCCTCTCTGCCTGGCCATGCCACTGTGAGTCAGAAACTGTCCTTTGGCGTTAAGAGGTGTCGAGACTTCAGGCGCGAGGCCCAAGGTGCTGGCAAGGCAGGTCAGAGGCGGGGCATGAGCTCTGCCACCTGCCCCACCAAACTCCAAGACCCCTGGCCAGGCGGGGCCCACCTTCTTACTGTAGACGCAGGCCGAGCCCTGGATCAGCAACGCTGCCTCAATGAAGTTCATCGTGGTTTTGCCTTCGTCAAAAGAAATGCAGATCTGGTCCAGCTGCAAGAAACACCACCAGGGCAAGGGGATGCTGAGGCCCAGTCTGCACTCACTTTTTCCAGGACAGCCACCCACCACCTGCCTCCTCCAGGCCTCTGGCCTGGTCACCCCAGAGCAGCCCCTCAGACAGGTCCAGCTCTGGCTCAACAGTGGTACCTGGATTGTTCTGAAGGGAGAGACAGGTGTCTGTGACCTCCCCCCTGCACTTCCTGCAACAAAAATCTTCCTGTGTTTGGGAAGAAAAAGGCCCCCAGAGCACACCATCCACAAATAGCCAAAGCCGCACACCAGCTCCCTTCAGAAGGCACCGGAAACGCTCTGTGCTGCACCTGCCCCCTCAGGGCCAACTGACAGACTCCAGCAGGAAGACCCCTCCTCACTCCGACAGAAGCAAAGGGAACCTCAAGAGTGGGGAAGACACAGCCAGAATGCTGGGTCTCGGCCAGGTGTGGTGGCTCATGCCTGTAATCCTAGCACTCTGGGAGGCCGAGGCGGGCGGATCACCCAAGGTCACGAGTTTGAAACCAGCCTGAGCAAGAGCGAGACCCCCGTCTCTACTAAAAATAGAAAGAAATTAATTGGCCAAATAAAAATATATAGGGAAAAAAAATTAGCTGGGCACGGTGGTGTGTGCTAGTAGTCCCAGCTACTTGGGAGGCTGAGGCAGAAGGATCACTTAAGCCCAGGAGTTTGAGGTTGCTGTGAGCTAGGCTGACGCCACGGCACTCTAGCCCAGGCAAAACAGAGTGAGACTCTGTCTCAAAAAAAAAAAAAAAAAAAAAAAAAGAGAAGAGAAAAATATAAAAAAATGCCGGGTCTCCATCCTTCAAGCAGAGAACTCAGGAAACAGTTCTGAGTAGGTCATTACCCTTCCTCTGCAAGCCCTCGGCCTCCCTGAGCCCCAGCTCCTCTGTCACCCTTTAAACACCAAAGTTCCAGGCTCTACCCTCAGCCTTCTCCTCTGCCCATGGCACACCCCCCGCCACATGCACTCGTCCCTCCTGTGCCCAAGTTGCCAATGATCAAAAGCCCATGCCCAGACGAGCTCTCTCTAAGCTCCAGGGCTGCGCCTGCAGCCACCCACCGAGCATCTCCACAGAGACATCCAAATGTCCACCAACATTTTCTCTCCATACTCCACCCAAGATCTTCCCCACAAAGTGGGCCCTTCTCCTGTCAGCAAACGACACTTTGAAGGCCTACGTGTTTTTCTTAATGCTTCCGTTTTGCTTTTCTGTCTGCCTGGAACACCTGCCCCCACCCGACTGTCCCCAGTATCAATTCTCCTGCAGAGCCTGCCTCAGTGCCCAGGGCCGCCCTGCCACCCCAGTAGTGTGACCTTGTCGCACTGTTTTCAAGTCCCTCCTCCCTTAAGGGGGACTGTGAGCAGCATTAGAGTAACTCCAGCCTCGAGCCCAGTGCCCGACGCTGGTGTCCGGTACATACCCAGTGAACAAGTGAAGCAGTGATGTCAGAGCTAACCCTGGAAAACACAGGGAAGCTCCCCAGACAGATGAAGGGGGCAGCATTTTAGGAGATGAATGCTCACAAAGAGGCAGGTTGCAGAGACAGGACACAACTACTTAGGAAAATGAGTACTGTGCAAACATGGCCAAAGTGTAGGGTGCTGGGAAGAGGCAAGACTTTAGGCACCACAGTAGCACAAAGGAGGAGGAGGGCCTGGGAGGACATTGTCAAGGGGAGCCCCTTCCATTAGTTCTTTAAGGATAAAGGGAGTCTGTCAGGTCACTGAATGGGGGAGAGAGAAAAGGCACGTGACAGTCTTCGGAAGTGTGAGGAACTGTGCGGAGTGTTCAGGATTGAAGGCCTTGGCCTGAACGATGGGAATGTGAAGGGGGCCCCCTTCCCTTTAGTGACCCTCAGCCCAGTTGCATGAAGAGAACATGGGAGGGGCATGAAGGGCAGGAAGAACCAGCAGCACAGGGGTCCAGGCAAGGGGGAGGCTGGGCCAGAGCGGTGGTCGCTGTGTAGAGGAGCATGGAGTTGGCAGGGGACAGGACTCAGGTTGAGCAGGGGAGGTGAGAGGAGGGAAGGAGCTCAGAACCTGGGGTTTCTGGGAGGGTAGGTTGGGGGGTTATCTAGAGTTCAGTGTGGACATGTTCGATATGAATCTCGGTTAAGACATCCAAGTGATGTTTGAAGTAGGCAGTTGGCCAGGCACAGTGGCTCACGCCTGTAATCCCAGCAGTTTGGGAGGCCAAAGTAGGAGGATCATTTGAGGCCAAGAGTTCGAGACCAGCCTGAGCAACATAGCAAGCAAGGCCTCATCTCTAAAAAAATAAAAATAAAAAATAAATAAATAAATAAAAATAAATAAATAAAAAATAAAAAAAATTGGCCAGGAGTATTGGCACACACCTGTACTCCTAACTACTTGGGAAGCTGAGGCTTGAGCCCAGGAGTTTGAGGTTGCAGTGAGCTACGGATGTACCACTGCACTCTACCAGGGGTAACAAAGCGAGACTCTGTTTCCAAAAAAAAAAAAAAAAAAAAAAAGAAAGGAGGGAAAAGACAAAACTAGAAGCCAGGACTTCAGCGGGTAGAGGTCTGGAAAGCTAGACACATGAGCCTACACACAGAGCCAGGAAGTGGATTTACCAGGTGTCTCCAGGGACCCTGCTTAACACATTGATTGCCACACTAGAAAAAAAAATGTCTTCCTTGGGGCCACAGTGTTTTATTAGGAAAATAGAATAAAAACTTCAAAAACAAAACAATCCAGGGCCAGGCGCGGTGGCTGACGCCTGTAATCCTAGCACTCTAGAAGGCCGAGGCAGGTGGATTGCTCAAGTTCAGGAGTTCGAAACCAGCCTGAGTAACAGCGAAACCCCGTCTCTACTATAAATAGGAAGAAATTAATTGGCCAACTAATATAAATAGAAAATATTAGCCGGGCATGGTGGTGCATGCATGTAGTCCCAGCTACTCAGGAGGCTGAGGCAGGAGGATCACTTGAGCCCAGGAGTTTGAGGTTGCTGTGAGCTAAAGCTGACACCATGGCACTCTAGCCCAGGCAACAGAAGTGAGACTCTGTCTTAAAAAAAGAAAAAAAAAAAATCCTTTCTAATTTAATGAAACATTTAATGAAAGTCGAAATTTATTGACTTGTATTCATTTAAGCCACATTTTCAGAATTAATTTGTCAATATTAATTGTAACAACAAAAACATTCACAAGTAAGATGTTCACCAACCCACTGCAGGTTATGACCAGATTTGCTTCACGAGGTCCTGGGGTCAAAACTAGCATGAGTTAAATATAAGTCATATGGCAGTTAATGGGTTAAATTAATCTGGAAACCTGAATACAGAGGCACTCCACCCAGCCCAGTTCTCTTCACTTTCTTGGCAGATTGTGCATCAGAGCAGAGAAGGTCAGTAATCAGATGACTGGCTCATTTAACAAACATGAGTGTCCTGTCTCTGCTAACTTAACTGCCTTTATGTGAGCAATCATTCTGCACCCCCCTCCCCGTGTACTGGGCACTCTAAGCACAGGGAAGAGAGCATAAATGCAGTCCGTGCCCTTACAGAATTTACATTCTAGGGTGGAGACAGACCACAAACAAGTAAATAAGTTGAAGAATAGTTTGCAATAAACATTCTAATGTACATAAAGTGCTAAGACAGAGGGAATTACTTTAGACAGGGTGGTCAGCAGACATCTAAACTAAGACCTAAAGGATGAAAAGGACTTAGTCATAAAATAATATTCTGAAGCTGAGCACAATGGCACATGCCTACAATCCTAGCTACTTGGGAGGCTAAAGTGGGAGAACTGCTTAAGCCCAGGAGTTTGAGACCAGCCTGGGCAACACGGTAAGACATTACCTCTCTTATATTAATACACACACACATATACGTTCCCTAGTGTGAGAAGAAAGTATGTAACCTCTGCTCAGAACAAGCTTGGGGTGCTGAAGGTTGACTGGTTCAAAAGAATAAGGTAGTGGCCAGATGTGATGGCTCACACCTGTAATCCCAGCACTTTGGGAAGCTGAGGCAGGAGGACTGCTTGAGGCCAAGTGTTCAGGACAAACCTGGGCAACACAGCAAGACCACATATCTACAAAAAGTTAAGAAAAAAAAATCAGCCAGGCATGGTGGCATGCACCTGTAGTCCTAGCTACTCAGGAGGCTGAGGCAGGAGGATCACTTGAGACTAAGAGTTCAACGTTACAGTGAGCTATGATTGCCACTGCATTCCAGCCTGGGCAAGAGAATGAGACCCTATCTCAAAAAAAAAAAAAAAAAGAAAAGAACATGGTAGAGAATAGCCCAAGATGAAGCTAAAGCATGAAGCTAAGCCAGATTCAGAGGAAGAAGTTTGGGTTTTATTGAGTACAATGGGAAGCCACTGAGAGGTTTAAGGCACGGCAGTGCTGTGGCCCGATTTTAAATTTTTTAAGAGTCGCACTTGCTGCTGGGTGGAGCATGGATTGGTCAGGAATAAAAACAGGGGTAGGGAGCCCAGACAGGAAGGTTTTACATAAATCCAGGCCAGAGACAATGGTGGCTTGGAAGAAACAGAGAACAGATTAATTAAAATGATATTCTGGTATATAACTGATGGAATTCATGAGTGAACAGGGTGTGGAATGTGGAGCTTCACTATGGCAGCACTTAGCTTTCTCCTTTGGTCGACAGAGATGAGGAAGACTAGGGTTTGAGCAGAAAAACAAAGAGCTCCCCTTTAAACATGTTAAATCTGAGATATTTGTGTGACATCCTAGTGAATGTCAAGAGAGCAGCTAGATATGTAAAAGTAGATTCAGAGGAAAGACCTCAGATGGAGGTATAAACCTGAGAGTTGTCCTCATATGTGCGATATTATACATTATGAAAATAAGTGAGATTGTTTAGGGGGAAATGTGTCAGAAGATGACCCAGGCCCCCTCCTGAGGAACTCAACACTTAGAGACTGGTTAGGACAGAAAAAGTAGGTAGTGGAATAGGAAGAAAATCATACTACCATTGTTTCAAAAAGGAGAGAGTGGCCAATCCAGTAAATGCTGCTGAGTTGAAAAAGATGACACTATTGTACCTTGGATTCAGTAGGATGAGGTCACTGTTGATCAAGACAAGAGACATTTAAGTGCAGTGGAAGCCAGATTGCACTGGGCTGAGGAGTGAAAATGAAGGGCAGAGATGGAGTAGACAGCTCCTTAACAGAGGTCTAAGCAGAGCTGTCAAATATGGAAGACTAAGTGCTGACAGGATGAGACAGGGCAGTAGCTTGAAACTGGTTTGAACACCCCAGATAAGAAATCCCTCTTACGTGGTAATCCAGAGCTTTCAAACACACAAACATGCACACTATAACTGAAACAAAGATGGTAACAGTTTCTAGTCTATTCCATTAGAGAAAAATGCTGATCACCACCCACTAAATCGATTTCACGGATCACTAACGGCTAGAGACGTGCAATGACAGCTCCGGGCCAACTCAGCGAGAGATTCTGGGAGGCAGGGTGGAATCAGAAAAGAAGCGAGTCTGAGGACGAGCGCTGCCAGAGGGCCAGATGGCCACAGGCGAGGAGGTGGCGGAACCGCTCGCAGCTCCCGGCCCAGAGCGCCCGCCCTGCACCATTCCCGCCGCCCTCACCTCCTCCAGATACTCGCCCAGCTGGGCCGCCACGTCCACCTCCCAGTTCTTGGTGAGGTCGCGGATGGGCTGCAAGAGGTGGGCGAAGCGCGCCTCCACGTCCTCCATGTCCGGGAGGGGCCGGGCGGCAAGAGGGCCGCAGGACCGGCTTCCGAGGAATACGGTGTACTCAACCCGCCACTAGTTCTGGCGCCATTTTGCTGTTCCCGCCCAGGAAAGTACTCAAAGCAGCGACACGCGCATATCTATGACGTAACACGAGCCAAGGCCCTGAGAACAGGACCTCGGTGCCTCTCTGCAGGAACACACCGGAAAGGCCACAGGGCGCACTGGAGGGGGACCGGAAGGGCGGGGCTTGGGCTGCCGGGGGCTGGGCTTGGAGCTGCTGGAGGCGGGACCCGCGGGGCTTGGAGCTACCATGGGCGGGGCTTGGGCGGCCAGGGCCGGGGCTTGGGCGGCCGGGGGCGGGGCTTGGGCTGCCGGGGGCTGGGCTTGGAGCTGCTGGAGGCGGGACCCACGGGGATTGTAGCTTCCATGGGCGGGGCTTGGGCGGCCGTGGGCGGGGCTTGGGCGCCTGGGGGCGGGGCTTGGAGCTGCTGGAGGCGGGACCCACGGGGATTGTAGCTTCCGTGGGCGGGGCTTGGGCGGCCGGGGGCGGGGCTTGGGCTGCCGGGGGCTGGGCTTGGAGCTGCTGGAGGCGGGACCCACGGGGATTGTAGCTTCCGTGGGCGGGGCTTGGGCGGCCGCGGGCAGGACCGCTGGACTCGTGGGCTCTGCTCCAGCCGGCCGCGTAGCGGACATGGCGGGCTCCAGGCTCCCGCGGCAGCTCTTCCTCCAGGGCGTGGCCGCCGTCTACATGTTCGCCTTTGCTTCCCTATACACGCAGATCCCGGGTGAGGGCGCCCAGGGCGGGGCACCCCCCAGCGTGCGTGGGAACCCGCGTCCTGTCTGCGCCCCGCGCTCACGCCGTCGCGGGGGCAGTGGGGTCCAGGCCTGACGCTCGAGGCCGGGGGCGGTGGCTGGGTCCCGCGGGGTGGGGTGGGACGCGTGCAATGGTGCGTTTCCCGCAGGGCTCGGGTCTCACCTGGGCGGGGGCGGGGCTTCCCCAGACCTGGCGGGCCAACAGGAGACGGGCTCCCACGTGGGAGGTCCCAACCTAGGAAGCTGAACTGGCCTTCTGGCCCAGAGACGGGGTGTCAACAGGTTCTGACCTGGGCAGACATCCTGGAAGGGCCGTATGCCCTGACCTAGGCTGGGGGTGTCCAGGGCCTGGCGCTGACGTGCCCTCCCACAGGGCTCTATGGCCCGGAGGGCATCCTACCTGCACGGAGGACGCTGCGGCCGCAGGGCAAGGGGCGCTGGCAGCAGCTGTGGGAGACGCCCACGCTGCTGTGGGAAGCCCCGCGGCTGGGTCTGGACACCGCGCAGGGCCTGGAGCTGCTGAGCCTGCTGGGTGCGCTGCTGGCGCTGGGTGCCTTGCTGCTGCGCCCGCTGCGCCACCCGCTCGTCTACCTGCTGCTCTGGGCCGCCTACCTATCGGCCTGCCAGGCAAGTGGGGCTGCCTGCTGCACCCACACACCATTGGGACCCCTGTCCCCAGCTCACTGCAGTCCCCCAGCCCACCCCCCTGCCTCTGCCTTACCTGGCTCTGCAGGCACACACTCCTGCTCCCTAACAGCCGGTCTCCCTACAGGTGGGCCAGGTGTTCCTTTACTTCCAGTGGTGAGTGACTGCTGGGTGTGGGGCCACAGGAGGTGGGTAGGGTTGGGGGTGTTTGCTTCTCAGGGGAGGACCCTCTGAAGGAAGCAGCCCTGGTGGGGAGGGGACTTCGTGCTACTTCCTCTCCCTGCAGGGACTCCCTGCTGCTGGAGACTGGCTTCCTGGCTGTGCTGGTGGCCCCACTGAGGCAGCCCCCACAGGGCAAGCAGGCCTCCCAGGGTGGGCCAGCAGGGGCCTTGCCCCACGAAGCCCTCCCCTTCTGGCTCGTGCGCTGGCTGCTGTTCCGCCTCATGTTCGCCTCAGGCGTGGTCAAGCTGACCAGCCGCTGCCCCGCATGGTGGGGGCTCACTGGTGAGGGTCCCGGCCTGGACCTGGGGTGGTCTGGGGGCTGTGCCCAGCGCTGACCACCTGCCCGTCACCTGCAGCCCTCACCTACCACTACGAGACGCAGTGCCTGCCCACGCCCGCCGCCTGGCTGGCCCACCACCTGCCTGTCTGGCTGCACAAGCTCAGCGTGGTGGCCACCTTCCTGATTGAGATCGCCGTGCCCCCTCTGTTCTTCGCCCCCATTCGCCGCCTGCGCTTGGCTGCCTTTTACTCCCAGGTGTGTGGACCCTCGGCCGTCAGACAGACGGGGAGTGGCCTTGTTCAGCCCTGCACAGTGTGTCTCACTGGGAACAGGTGGCAACTGCTATCAGGAAGGCCTGGTGGGCAGAGGGGTTGGAGGACGACCGTCTCTGGGCAGCAGGGCCCGGGGTGGGTGGCCTGAGCGCCGAGTGCAGGTCCTCCCCAGGTGCTGTTGCAAGTCCTGATCATCCTCACTGGCAACTATAACTTCTTCAACCTGCTGACGCTGGTGCTCACCACCTCCCTCCTGGACGACCAGCACCTGGCTGCTCAGCCTGGCCATGGCCACCGCAAGAAGATGCCCACCTGTGAGTTTCAGCCTGTCCTGGGCAGCCAGCCATCCTCAGCCCCATGCCCTCCCAGGGTGTCTTCGTCCCCCCAGTACCCCCCACGTGACCCCCACCCTGGCTCCATCCCAGCGTCCTGGCTGCGGACTCTCTGCAAACCCACTACTGCCCTGCTCCACAGCCTGGCCCAAGGCCCTGCTGGCCTCGCTGGCCCTGATGCTGGAGCTGGCCGTATACGGTCTGCTGGCCTACGGCACTGTGTACTGCTTTGGCCTGGAGATCGACTGGCCGCAACGCACCATCCACTCCAAAACCAGTGAGTACCAGTCTGGGGGCCAGAAGGGAGGGGCCAGACCACCCCTTCTCACACCCCCTCCTCCGCAGCCTTCACCTTCCACCAGTTCTCCCAGTGGCTAAAGACAGTGACCCTGCCCATGGTGTGGCTGGGTGTGGCCTCCCTCGCCTGGGAGCTGCTGGCTGCCATCTGGAGGTACATGGCCCGGGAAGGGGGGAGGGAGAGAGGTGTGCAAGGTGGGCCTGACCACACCTGCGTCCCTGCCCCAGGTGGACCCAGGTGCGGGGATGGCTTCGGAAGCTCAGTGCTGCAGTCCAGCTGTCCGTCCTTGGTGCTGCCACGGTGTCCCTGTTTGTGATCAGCCTGGTGGGTAGTGCTGGGGTCAGCGAGCTTGGGTGGGGGCTGCAGCAGCAGCCCTGAGCCTCTGCCCACCTGCCTCCAGGTGCCGTACTCCTACGTGGAGCCGGGGACCCACGGGCGCCTCTGGACCGGGGCCCACCGCCTGTTTGGCGCCGTGGAGCACCTGCAGCTGGCCAACTCCTACGGCCTCTTCCGCCGGATGACCGGCCTGGGTGGGCGGCCTGAGGTGGTGCTGGAGGGCAGCTATGACGGGCACCGCTGGACGGTAAGTCCTCCCCCCCGGGGTGGGAGCTGGCGGGGCCGGGTCAAGCTGGCCCAGCTGACTGTGGCTGCGCCTGGCAGGAAATCGAGTTCATGTACAAGCCCGGGAACGTGAGCCGGTCGCCCCCGGTCGTGGCGCCTCACCAGCCACGCCTCGACTGGCAGATGTGGTTTGCGGCCCTGGGCCCCCACACACACAGCCCCTGGTTCACCAGCCTGGTCTTGCGCCTGCTGCAGGGCAAAGAGCCAGGTGAGGCGTGGGGGAGGGGTAGCGGGGGGGGGCATGGGGCTGGGGTTGGCCATGCTGAGCCCCTCCCCCTGCCACAGTGATCCGCCTCCTGCAGAGCCACGTGGCCAGGTACCCCTTCCATGAGCAGCCGCCCACCTACATTCGGGCCCAGCGCTACAAATACTGGTTCTCCCAGCCCGGGGAGCAGGGGTAAGGCCGGGGCGCCAGGTGGGGTGCTGGGGCCTGGGCTCCGGCCCCCCACTAAACATCCAGTCCTGTTGCAGACGGTGGTGGCGGCGACAGTGGGTGGAGGAATTCTTCCCGCCTGTGTCCCTGGGGGACCCCACGCTGGAGACGCTGCTCAGGCAGTTTGGACTGCAGGTGAGGGGGTATCATCAGTCAGGATGCGGGAGGTGGCAGGAAGGGGTGACCCCTGCCACAGCGGTGATCCCTGTGGGCCTCCCTCAATATTGTCCCCACAGGACAAGAGCCCACCCCGGGCCCGCAGATCCAACAGCACCTTGGCCGGGGCCCTGCACTGGGTGCGGACCCAGCTGTCGCCCCTGGAGGCTCCCACCCTGCTCTGGGGGCTGCTCCTGGCTGTGGGTGCCGTCCGAGTCGTGCAGGCCCTGCCGGCCCCCTGGTCCTCCCGGTCTTCCCCACCGGCCAGGACGGAGAAGCAGAGGCAAGCCCCCAAGAAGGACTTGGGGGCTGCCTGCCAACAGGCCACCCCAGCCCCCGACAACTGCAGCAGTGGTTCCCGGACCCACCGGCGGAAAAAGTAGCTGTGCTCTGTCCGCCATGTGTCCCCCAGAGGGTCAGGGAAGGTCCCCAGCACAGCTCTGTCCTCCTGCAACAGGACATAGCCCAGCCACCGTGCCTTAGCCGTTCTGCCGAGACGGATGCGGGTTGGGGTGTCGCCCACAGAGGATTGCTGGGTGCTGCCCTGAGGGCCCACTGGTCCCCGGACGCCGGGCCCCACCACTGCCTCTACTGTTGGCCCCAGAGGTGAACCTGTGACCTAGCTCAGGACCTGCCCCTGCCCTGGGCTGTGGGCATTGAGTCTGGAGCCGTAGCCCCTACTTGGGAAGGGGTGAGGCTGACCCATTGAGCAGGAAGAGGAGAAAGACAGTCACCTTCGATGTCCTCTCCATACCAGCCCATCTTGTCCTTCACACATGTGCACCAATAAAGGCATCTTCTGTGCTTGGCCATGAGCCTGGTGTTTCCTTCCTGCCGGGAGGCCTGAGGGTGCTGCCCTGGCTCAGTGGGCACTATCCCTGTCTTTTTTTTTTTTTTTTTTTTTTTGAGACAGAGTCTCACTTTGTTGCCCAGGCTAGAGTGAGTGCCCTGGCATCAGCCTAGCTCACAGCAACCTCAATCTCCTGCGCTCAAGCGATCCTCCTGCCTCAGCCTCCCGAGTAGCTGGGACTACAGGCATGTGCCACCATGCCTGGCTAATTTTTTCTATATATATTAGTTGACCAATTAATTTCTTTCTATTTATAGTAGAGACGGGGTCTCGCTCTTGCTCAGGCTGGTCTCAAACTCCTGACCTCGA